CCGAATCTGTTATACATGTGGATGTTCGTCTGCAAGTACATGCAAACTCTAGTGCAGCGCGATGAAGTCGACTGGAGTGTACATATGAATTGGCAGGATCATATGCAGAGATTTAGAGCTGAATTTGTTTATGAGTTGTGCTTATTTTCAAGGACTGCTACTTAAAGCTGTGAAATTTTTCCTTGCATATTTTTTTTAGGTTACTGTATATGTTATAATGCCCTCCTTTGTGTATATTATTTGTATAGCTGCCTCAGAGTGTTCATAGCTAAATGTAAATATTTTTTCTGTAGCAGTAGAGTTACAAGTTTGTCAACTGGCCTTACCTGTATGCTGCATTCTGAGTAACACGGGAGTAACAGGAGAGTAACACTTGGATAACACGAGTAACACGGCTTTAATACAGGGATAACGCGAGAGTAACACGTGAGTAACACTTGGATAACACGAGGGTAACACGGGAGTAACACTTGGATAACACGACAGTAACACGGGAGTAACACTTGTATAACACGAGAGTAACACGACAGTAATGCAGCTGCGACATCTGCAGTAACACAGGAGTAATACGTGGATAACACGGGAGCAACACGAGAGAAATGCATCAAGTTCATCCTGGATAACACGAGACTAACAGGAGAATAATGCAGCTGCTACATTCTGAGTAACGTGGAGTAACACGTGCATAACACGAGAGTACCACGGCTGATCCATCATGAATAACACAGGAGTAACACGTCAGTAAGACGTGAATAACACGGGCATAACCAAAGAGTGAGCCGCAGACAATAAATATTCTAATATTACTTATCCTGTTCTCTTTGTAATAAAAAAATCATAGAAATCTTTGATCGTTTAAATACCACGATGAAATGAGGAATAACGCCGATTAATCGGCAATAACACAGAGGAGTAACACGCTAGAAGCCGCGCGGTAACGCAGAATAACGCCGATTAATCGGTGAGTAACACAAGGAATATTCGCTGCGGGCGCGTAGTAACACGTGAGTAATCCCGGTTATTCCTGTGTTATTCCCGTATTATTTTAGTGTTATTCTTGTGTTATTCCCGTGTTTTTGCCGTGTTTTTCTTCTGTTTCTCTGATGGTTTACATCATGAGTTAGGACAATGATATTCCCGTGTTATTTTAATGTTATTCTTGTGTTATTCACGTCTTAAACACTGTGTTATCCTCGTGTCATTCACTTATTATTATATGTATTATTCCCGTATTATTGGTGTGCTTTCCACGTGTTATCCTCGTCTTCATCCCGTGTTATTGCTGTGTTAGCCTCGTGATATTTCCGCGTTACTGACAGAAATCCTGGTGTTATTCACGTGTTACTCCCGTCTTATTGACGTGTTATTCTCGTGTTTCATTTATGGTTTACATGAGTAAAGACACGGGAATTTCTCGTGTTATTTTAATGTCATTCTTGTGTTATTCCTCGTGTTATTCACGTATTATTATCTGTATTATTCATCGTCAGATTGATGTGTTATTCCCGTGTTATTGCAGTGTTATTGTCGTGTTATTTACGTATTATTTACGTATTATTCCCGTGTTATTCACGTATTGTCTTCGTCTTATTCCTGTGTTATTGCAGTGTTATTCTCGTGTTATTTACGTGTTATTCCCGTGTTACAGTTGATATATACGTTTGAGCAGGATAGATATACAAATATTTCGACAAACACAAATTATAAACAACAAATAACCTTTTCGTAAAAACGTTTACAACTGATACACTATAACAGCTATTACAATATCAATCAATATAAAGTCTCACTTATGGAATCCATCAAAAGTCCACTGTATGTTTGGCTTAGTTGCGATGCATAGTTTTCCTGCAGCAGGTCAGTAATAGGAATGAGAAATAAATTAAGTTCTTTATATAAGACAGAGTGATATAATTGGCAAATTTATCGGCATACCTGAGCAAGGCAATCTGCCACGCTTTGTTCGAATGCGTCCACGGCTCGACGGCTACTTGCTGCTTCTTGTTCCATTCCTGGACGCAATGGGTCAAATTAGAAGTACGCATTATACATGGAATGGAATGAGGAAATAGTAAAATAAAAAATTTATACTTTTGGCTTTCTTATTTCTCTCCCAATGTCCTTTCAGCCTCGTTGTAGATACTCCTTTCGGCCTTTTTTTAGCAGGGTCATTGACATTGCACTCTATTATTCTGGGTTTATGCTTCTTTTTGGTTTTATGTAATTCTATCGTTCTCCCTGCTATGGCATCCTCAATATCTCCTGATAACTTTCTGAAAGTTTCCCACAGACACTCCTCAGCTAACTCATGTCCTTGTGCTCTATTAATGAGCTTATATGCAAATTTTTGGGAGCATGAACTGAATATAAGGGAACTTGAAGAAACATTATTACATCCAGAGTCTTTTAGCTCTTTGCACCCGAATCTGTTATACATGTCCCTTTTAGCATTGATGGACCACCGCAATAAGAAATATTTTTCTGGAATCACCTTTATTTTTGCAAGACTTAAAACAAATAATGCATGGGAGCACAACAACCCCATCATCTCGAACTTTTTGCAACTACATGTAACCTCACAAGTCACCTTGTCAACTAACACATTCCAGGGTTGCCTTGTCCCCTCATCATCCAATTTTGATACATAATATTTAGCATCGCTCTCCACTGATACTTCATATGTTAGCCCACATAAGCCATTCAAGAGCTCTTGTTCAAACATTGAGTAAAGCTTCCTTGTATAGAATGAGGATGCTTGCCTCAGCATGGGATTGATTTTAACCATGGGTGTCCTCACGGACTGACCACATTTGAAATCTTCATCTTTCTCACTCCTGCGCCACGATTTCATAATGTTTTCAAGACCGATAAAACAATCTGTGAGAGAGCTAGTTGGCTTTGAAACACCATGACAAACATTGTTGGTCGACTCACTTCGCTGTGTTGATAAAATTCCCATACCGAATATATCCTTATTAAATGCAGTTGACCATTTATGCCTTATACGATACATTTCATCTAACCAAACATTGCTTTGAAGTTCCCCAAACTCAATCATTAAGGACCATGTTTCTTCGAACTCCTCCTCAGAATCACACTTGCTCAAACATTTATAGAAAAGACCAGCCACACTCTTAGTGCGCACTCCACAGTGAACTTTGGAAGGTAGTTTCTTGTAGATATGCCATTGACATAATCTATGACGTGTCTGTGGGAGGCATTCTGCAATGGCTCTTGCCATTGCTTGATCCTGATCGGTAAAGATAGTTATGGGATGTTTGTCTCCCATTATTCGAATGAATGATTTGAATAACCACATGAATGATTCAGTGGTCTCGTCAGATAGAAATCCAACTCCAAACAGTACGTTCTGCCAGTGGTGGTTAACCCCCACAAATGGAGCGCAACATAAGTTATATTTATTTAATCGGTAGCTTGTATCAAAAATTATGACATCCCCGAAACAGTCATAATCCAACCTGCACAATCCATCACTCCAAAATATGCTTGTTAACCTACCAGACTCATCTGTTTGGAAATCCCAAGCAAACATGCTGTCCCCAGATTGCCTCTCCATGAACAATTGTATTAAAGCATTGACATCTCCCTGTTCAATTCTTTCTCTTCTTTCTCTCTGGATAAAATTAAATGCATCTCTCTTCGTGCACTCTAAATTCTCCACACCACCAACTTCCGTGGCAATGAAATTGTATGCGTGTGTTGCTCTGATGCCTGATCCTGTCATGGATCTCAACACATCTGCATTAATCCCACTTATCCTTCTGTTGGAACGAAGAAGATGCTTATCACCACTTTCGGCCAAAGGATGGTTATGATTTTCAATGAATTTTGCCACTTTCCAATTACCTTCGAAATCAACATGAAATCGTACCATGGCCTTACAGCCAGTCCTTGTGTCCGCTTTTCTGAACTTAACTGTGTTGTTAGGCTCTTTCTTATAGCCAGCTTTTCCACAAATGTAATCTTTAACCTTGAGCTTCTTGGAGTTCGGCCAGTAGGTGGTATGATCCTTCCGAACAGTGAATCCCACATGATGTGCATAGGCACGATAGCTTTCATATGCTTCTTCCTCACTGTGAATAATGCTACTAAGAAACTTCTCTGCGATAGGATCATTGTAAACTTGTGTTGCCTCAAAGGACTGCATAAAACAATGGTGATATCAGTAACACCATAATAACACAAGGGTAAAACAAAAAAACTATAATAATACCAATGCACTGTAGAACAGCACCCAAAGGATACTACATCAACACCTACGTCTACATGCAGTAACACTACAGTAACACTACAGTAACACCAGAATAACACAGAAGCCTAAAACCATAGTAACGAAAAAATAAACATAATAATACCAAAGCACTCTGTAGAACATCACCCAAAAGATAGTAGATAAACACCTATGTTTACATGCGGTAACACCACAGTAATACACGAATAACACAAGGGTAATACAAATAAACCTGAAGCCTAATACCATAGTAACGAAAAAAAAAACTATAACTAAACCAAACCTCGCTGTAGAGTAGCTTCCAGTGATACGTGAACACCTATGTTTACATGGAGTAACACCACAGTAACACCAGAATAACACAAAGGTAACACAAACAAAAGCAGAATTCCTAAACCATACTAACGAAAAGAAAAAAACCCTCATGATAACAAACCACACTGTGGAACAACATCCAAAAGACACTACATCGAACACCTACGTTTACATGGAGATAAAACTAAAGCCTAAGCCACACAACGGTACTAAATAAAACGCAAGAAACAAGAGTAATAGCAGAGTAACACCACAATAACACAACAGTAACACCAACACTTACTTCATCTTGGCCTTCAAAGTTCAGGCTGAATGATGGCATCTCAACGTTCATGGAGGCTTCCGGCATCTCAACGTTCATGGAGAAATCGACTTCTGGCATCTGAAAGTCCATGAAGCTGTGAACTGGAGCTGTGAACGGAGCTGTGAACGGAGCTGTGAACGGAGCTGTGACCGGAACTATGAACGGCTATGAACGGAGCTATGCGAAGGTGTCAAAAAAACCAGCGAAAAAAACCAGCGAAAATAGAACAGAAGCTGGCGCGAAATCATTTTATTGTGGCGGGATTTTTTCGTGAATTCGGGTTTTGGGTCGGGCCCGGGTCGCGAATACCCCTAAATTACGTGGGACCGTAGTTTCCAAGTGGCGCATTTATATTGGCTACGCACCGTAAGGAAGGTGCGTAGTACTGAGGGAATATTTCTTCGAGCAGGCGAGGGTTTTGGACGAGGAGAGGGGGCATGACGGATAGGGTAGGAATGTTCAAGGAGGAAAATTTGAGTGGTATAATGGTAAATATCAAGATTTATGTGTTACATGGTTAAATCATAAGGAATTGAGTGGTTTACACGTAAAAGCCTATGTTATTTTCATTCTTTTTAATGAATTCATTGTAGTATTAATATCATTTCCAACATCCTCCTTTGTGAATCATAGAAATGATTTGAATAAGGAAAGATATACAAAAATAAGGGAATTAATATCATTTCCAATATCCTCCTTTGTGAATCATTGAAATGATTCGAATAAGGAAATATATACAAAAATAAGGGAATATGATGAGAGCAAACAAACAAATATCAAAGAACTTTGAGAATTTATATTAGAGTGGTCCTCGTATGATAAGCCAGAGGCATATATGTCCAAAATAAATTGGAGCAAAATGTTTTGGAACCATATATACAAAGAATATCCTAACATAAGTTGCCCACGTACCAAAGAAATAAAAAAATTTTGTTCTATGTTTTGAGCTCAAGAGTGACTCCCAAAGGAATTAGATCCTCTGGTTAATTAAATCTTATAAGAAACACAAGAATACTCTCGATTAATTTAAAAAAAAAAAATCTTTCTTACACATTATAATAACTTGGGAAATGGGTAGACCAACAGGGAAATTGTTACATCAATGAAGAACGTCTCGATACTTCAAAGCCTATACCGAGCCGTAAGGGTAGAGAGAAAGTTTCTCATATCCCAAATGAACAACGACTCTTAGCCTCAAAGGTGATTTACAACCATTCTCAGTCCATGAAGTTTGACTTTTTGAAGATGTGGCATATTACTTTCCGAGGAAACATATGGTTTTCTTCAGAGAATTACCAGGAGGCAAAAGCTTAGAATGTAAAGAATAAAAGAAAAATGTTAAGAATCAAGAGAAAATAGAAAGTTAAAATATTATAGAGAGAAAAGTAGACAAAGAGATAAAAGAAAAGTTAGAAGAGACGAGAATGTTGAAAAGCAAGAAGAAGATACAGAAGAAAAGGACACATCTTCTAAAGAGAATGACGAACTTCAGATAGTTACCCAGTATTCCTAGTAGGTTTGATTGAATTTCTAAAAGAAATGGAGTAGTTATGCAAAATGACTAAGTACTAGCAAGAATAATTTTCTTACCACGTTTGAAGAATAAAACACCTGCATTGTACATCGACTTAGAATCCAATTTGGAGGATGAGCCATACACTATAGGTCCATTTATTAATCTGATTAAAGTAAGAACACCATGGAGAATTTCTCTAAAAGAAAATGACAATATTGATGAAGAATTAGTCTCGAATTGAGACAAGTTTGAACCATCATCTTACGTTAAGATTAAATAGTATGTAAATACTTTAGTTCTAACCCCACTATCTACAGATGCTATGATAAATTTGGAAGTTAAAGTATCACCTCAGTTGAGTGCTTACCAGAGCAAAACTTTTCATAAATGGTCCTCATCTTTGAGCATTTAAGAAGATGTTGAATGTGAAGATGAAAACTCAAATGAATTAATAGAACTCCCTTTTGATTGGTATTCTCCTCCTTGTGTTAATAATTTAACAAAACAAGATTTAAAACCACACACATGGTCTAAGAAACAATCATACAATTTTAACAACCATTTGAATCCCAAATGTAGGAAGTCAAATCAAAAGCTGGTGTGGGGTTCGCTACTGTAGAACCAATTGATGATAAGGAATATTGTATGGTCATTAATAATTATCTAAAATCAACTTAGATCTCTTTAAAGAGAAATCTCCTTCATGATAATGTTTGTTTAGAACTCTTAGAAGATTCTAATGAGCACTTAGAGGAAAAAAATAACTATTGATGAATTTAAAAAAAAAATAAATTTGGGAATTCAAAGCAACCCTAAACCAATTTTTGTAAGTTCATTTTTGAACGAATAAGAGACCAATGATATTGTCGAATTACTAAAGGAATTTAAAGATTATTTTGCTTGGAATTATAAAGAAATGCCAAGAATTGCTCCTGATGTGGCAATTCATAGATTGAAAATTAAACTTGATGTTATACCTGTTAAACAAGCACCTCAATGAACTAGGGTTGAAATTGAAGAACAAGTAATTATAGAGGTAAAAAAGTTAATTAAAAATGGCTTTATTCGAGAAGATAAGTATCTTTCTCGACTAGTTAAGAAGAAGAATGTGAAAATACATGTGTGTATAGACTAGAGATCTCAACAAGTCATGTCCTAAGGAAGAATTTCATTTATCTATACTAGAGTTGATGCTTGACATTGTCTTTTCAAATGTTATTTTCTCTTTCATAGATGGATCTTTGGGATGCAACCAAATTAAGATTGCTACTGAAGATGAGAGACATACAAACTTTAGAATACCAATTGGATATATTGTTACAAAGTTATGTCGTTCATCTTGAGGAATGTGGGTGTTAATGATCCGACCTGTAATCATGCAGTTATTTAGTTTCTAAAAAAATGCCAAAAACTTGACCCAATATATTTTAATTGCTAGTGTGTATAATATATATGTTATAGAATTTAGAATTTAATTAGTAGTTTACACACTATAGGTACTACACAAGTATACTTATCGTTTCAAGTAATTTAGCTTTTTTTTTTCTTTTAAAGCCCCGATATCGATCCCACAAGGAAGGTGAAACTTTTTTTATCTCAAAACTTCTTTTATAGACTTAGTAAGACTTAACTTAAACTCCAGACAATAATTTAGAAAATATGACAACAAGTTTAAGTGCAAATCAAATCTACTAAACTCCTAAAAGTTTTATTTCAAAGCTAAAAGAAAATGTTGAGATTCTAAACTAGTTTTATGACGAAGAGTTCAAATTATGTAAATTTTTTTCCCCTTTGCATATAGATAAGAATTAGTGTAGGAATCAAATGTTTAAATGTTAAAATATAGTTTTATGTCAAATAGGAGCATACCTATTCTTTACTCTATCCCGAGTGCATAAAGAACATTGGCTAACCTAAATTAAGTTCCTAAATCACAAGCTATGTTGGATAGGTTCTATAGGACTAACCAATCCTTAAGTTCCAAACTCTAGATCAAATTAGCAAAGGTTTTAGCCTGTCACCCTAGAATCACCAATTTACGCCCATGAAAATTTATCTCCCTATTTATTTGCATTAACTTATATATTACCTTCTCAACCACGAGATTAATGTGATTCTTACTAGTTGAGGAACAAATAGCCTTCCTGGGTTATTATGAATTTACAATAGATTTTAACATTTCAATTGACTATATTGAAGATGTAAAAGAAGTATTATTGATCTCATTTTTAATGAAGTATAATTATACCTCTTTAGAAGCTTAGGATCTAGCCATAAGACTTTCCTATTGACTATTCTAGAGGACTAGCAAATGGTTAAGACCAACCAACATGTGAAGACCCAAAAGTGAGTCCCAAAAGGATCAGTGAGACCTTAGGGTAACCCTTGGTGACTTGGTCTTGGTCATAGCCTCACACACACACACTCAAACCCTAAAATCACCTAATCCTAACCTACTCCCCAATTCTTCTTTGGAGACTCATATGGGTGGCCCCAAGCCCCTAGTCTTTGGCTAGGAGGGTTAGGACCAACATGTGGAGAACCCAAAAAGAACTTCCCCCATGAGCATTATGAATTTAGGGGAGAATTTTACGTAATTTGCATGGCCATCAAATCTAATTCCATTAAGACATCCCATTTTGGCCTCTTACCCCTGCTTTTCCCAAAAATTACCAAAATGCCCCTAAAACCCTAAAATTCCCAAAACCACCCAAACCCTTAATTCTCCACCAAAAATCATATTGAACCACTTCAAACAACCCCAATTGCCCAAATACTCTCAAAGTTCTCAAAATTCCCAAAATACCCCTAATCCACCTTAAATTACCAAAATGCCCCTGACATCAAAAAATTTGCCAAAATTCCTAAATTCACTCCAAACCTCCCCTAGATCAATCCTAACCGCCAATGACCTCAATGGCACCCAAATTCACCAAATTGGCCAAATTTCCTAAATTGCCCCTAAAACCCTAAAGTCCTCAAATCATCCCTAATTTCCACCAAATTCATTCCAAACTCACCCAATTTCAAACCCAAATCAAATTTCATTATGTTAAATCCAAATTGAAGCCAAATTCAAGCCCATTTCAACCCAATTCCAGGCCCAAAAGCCAAGTCCAAGTCAACTACCCCAAAATTGAACCCAAAATTCCACCAAATTGAGGCACATAATCATTTCAATTCCACAAAAATTGATTTTCAAATTCTTTATGACATTCTCCTAGGCCAAATTAAACATCAAATTGTCTAGATCCAAGCCCAAGCTAAGCCCAAAGTCAATGATAAAACCCAAACTCCATTTTAAGTCTAAAACCAAGCATTTCCTTAACCCTTTGATTTAATTAAACTCTAATTACCCCAGTCTATCCTAAGCATGTGACATTGCCACCTCAATCCTAGCCTAAACCCATTTTTGGGCCATGGACCAAAGGTCCTTTGAATCATGGAAGCTCCTCCCCTAAATTTGATTAACTCCCTAACCCATGCAACAAACCTTCCCAAGCCCCAAGTTAATCATAATTAAACCTCCCTGACCTCTATGAGCTAGCTAGCCACCCCCCTTAGCCTGTTCGGCCGCCTTAGTGGCCAAAAAACCCAAAATCAAGAGGGTCACCCATGGCTTAAATCCAAAATTCTACATATCCATTGTGGCAAACTCCAATTGGTTGATTGCACCACTCACCCCTTCACCTAAGCATACTTGCACCAGCAAATCAGGGCCTAAGGCCTCTCCCTTGGCCAAAATTATAAATAGCCCCCTCCATGTATAAACTTAGAGATCATCCAAATTCTAGGGGAAACTCTGTCAATTTGCTTCCACAGCTTTTCACAGACTTCTTAAATGCAATCCCATCATCCTTAACCACCCATTCCCACTGAGAAACCCTAATTTCATCACTGAAATACAAGGCCTTTTTGGCCATTTCACCAAACTCTTCAAAACTCCAAATTGATCATTCCATAAGCTTCCCAACTCCTAAAAACCACTTCACCAATTGAAAGCCCTCTGTCCCGAGCACTTCAACCTAACCATTGACCAGACCCGAGTCACCCTCCAATCAAAATCCTATATAAACTCAACCACAACTCACATCGACGCTTCAAGGATGTTCGTGGGACCAAGACAAAGCTCAAGAACAAATCCAAGTAAGGCCGCACCTCTTGGGCAAAGGTATTGACCAAAATCCCTAAATTTGTGCTCGGTTTGGAACTTTATGAAGGAAACTTGTATTTCATGTGCATGTAACCATATAGATGTGTTTCTCTCACTTAGATGAAGGTGCAGGAATAAACCTCACTTAATCAAGTTGAGTATCAAGCGAGATCTTAAGTTTAGAAATTGAGCGGTTCTCGGGTTAGAAAGATCAAGGACGATGAACGGATGCCATTCGTTTTTGCGTGTATCGAATGGACGGTTTAGATGCAGTCTGATGAGGAGATGGTACGGGAACCGCGAGCTGCATGGAAGCTGGCGCGTAAAGTGTCGCAAATGGGAATGTGTCGTGTGTGCTTTCGGAGATGTTGAGGATCCAGTCAGCGCCGAAGTGGATAAGTAGGAATGGGTATTTCTGATTTAAATAATTACAAAAACTTTAAAAATTCATAACTTAGTGTAAAAAAATGCTAAAAATAAATAAAAATACCCTTGTGCTTAGTGAATAGAGAAGAACAATGTGGACTAAAAATAAAAATATTTGCTTTGCATTTTTTTTAAAAATTAATTAAATAGTATGAAACTTCCTTAAATCATAAATTACTACATATTGATCATAAAAATGTGAGATTTAGAGGGTTCATTCCTCACATGCTTATAGATGTTCTCTGATTTTTTCAAAGTCAGAGAATATTTTTAACTTAGAAACCCTAATTTTCAAGGTAAGTCACCCTCATTTTTCTTAAAATAAATATAAGTCAAAAAATTACAAAAATCGATTTGATAGATTTACTGTGGTCAGAGAAACTTAGGAAAAATAAAAATCAAATTTCAAAATTTTAAAGTACATTTCTTATTTTAAAAGTTAAGAAAATCACCAAAAATAAGAAAAATATAAAATAACTCAAAAAATCATCAAAATAACCTAAATTGAAGGGAATAACCTTAGAAAGTTTCTATAAAAATTTTAAAGCCATAAAATTTATTTTTTAGCATAAAAATGTATTTTCTAAGTAAAAAAAGATTTTTGCTTAAAATAATTATAAAAAATTAAATATAAATAAAAAAATTATGAAAATTGGTTTGAAGTGTTCCTTAAGACCAAAGCCACCTAAGAAAAATAAAGGTCAAAATAAAATTTCTATTTTTAGCTTATTTTCTTAAGTAAATATTAATTAAAATACCAAAAAAACACCAAAATATGTCAAAACTTCATAAATCACTTTCTGATTGAAGAAAATAACTTTAAAAATTTTATGTAAATTTTTGGAATTATAAAAATGTATTTTAAGTAATTAAATGTATTTTTCTATATTTTTTAATTAAAAAAAATTATAAAAATAGAATAAAAATTCTAAGAAAATGGAATTAATTTCTTTGGGTTCTCTAAAGTCATAGAGATTAAATAAAAAAATAAAAAAGTAATTTTCAAAATAAAATATATTTTCTATTCATCTATTCATTAAAATCAACAAAAAAATATGGATAATTAAAATTTACCTCAAAAATTCATTAAAATTGTTTTGAGAGGACCTTTAATCAATGTGAACCTCATAAAATCTTCTTAAGGACAGAGGGCATGTTTTAATTAAGTAAATGAATTAACTTTGAAAATCTCTATTTTTGAACTAAAATAATTCTAGAAAATAGAATAAAAATCAGAAGAATACAAAGCTTCTCTGCTATTTTGAATAACCCATGAGTAACAATTCAACAAAGTTTCAAAGTCATTTGAATTAAATTGAAGGAGTTATGAAGTAAAGAGCTTTAGGGGTAAAGCAATAATTTTGGAATTTTGAGCCCTAATTAAAATTTTAGGTCAAACCAAGGGTAAAAGGGTAAGATTGATCATGATTGGTTCCCTAGGATGATTAAAACAAAAAGGGATAAGGGGTAGAAACCAATTCACACTTCTCTTTACAAAAGAGTAAAATTATAATTAATCAAATTGTTATAGCTTGAAAGATAAGTTCATTGGATGATTCTAATGTGAGGGGCATGAGATAGAGAGACAACAACTAACTAATTTAAAGCCCCAGATTAATGGTTAAGCATAATTCAATCATTCAATAAGAATCAAATTCATTTCACTTAACCTTTTAAAATTACAAATCTAGCCATTAAAGATCTAAGAGCTTTGTTGTGAGCTAGGATTGATCTAAAGCTATCTAAAAGGATTAGAAAAGAAAGAACATCTTAAACACTGCCAACTCACTTAGATGGTTGGGCTCACCTTTAGGGTAACTATTGACCAACGGAATATAGTTGTGTAAAATTTATAAAGTTGACTCCGCTTAACAACAGTGCTAAAAACTTGATGTGGTATTTTATGAATAATAATGTTAAGCACTTAATGTTGGTATTCTACGCAAGTATACATATCTTTATCAAGTAATATAAAACAATCTATTTAAGTCTCAAATATCAATCCCACGCGAAATATTTAAATTTGAAATGATAAATTAACTTAGAAATTCATAGAAATAAAAAAAAATTACTGTCACTAATATAAAATGTTTAAGATACTATGAACGTTAAATTATTCACTACTAGCAGAATTTAAATACAGAGTTCACAATAGAAACAGCTAAATTATGTTTATGTGATGAAGTTTTCTAATATGAAAAAACATCTTTCCCACTACAATGAGTTTTTGGTGAAATGAGATGAGATAAATGATTTAAATATGTATTGTGCCAAATAGGAGCAATTTTAACTCTCTACCATGATTCAATGTTATATAAAATCATTGGCTAATCTTAGGTTTAGTCCCTAAATCTGTGGTTAGGTTAGGAGGATGCTGGCTCCCACTCCAGAGTTCCTACTTCCCTTCCCATGAAGGCTAACTCTCGTTTTAGTTTTTAAACACTAAGATCAAATTGGAGATTTTTAGTCTGTCACCCTAAAAATCTCCAATTCTACACCCAACAATGTATATTTCCCTATTTATTTGACTTAATTCAATGAACAAAACACTCCTTCATAGACTTAAATGTGATCATCACTCCGTTGTATAACTCATACTCCATTTCCCAGATCATATGTTTCACAACATATTTTAACAACTCAATTGGCTAGATCGAAAAGTAAATTAAGAGTGGAGTTGAAAAACCATCACAATTTATTTTAAATTTTAACATTGGCACATCCAAATTATCTCTTCATTTCGCCATATCTTAGAGTAGAGAAAAAGATAAAGGAAACTACTCAGACTTCATGAGAAAGATACAACAAAACACAAATTTCAGATATAAAAGGAACTTCATACAACAATAATAAACAAATAACACTTATATGAAACTCTTCCTCAAAGAAAATCCCTTGTAGCCTCTCTTAGGAAATGTAGGAAAGGAAATGTAGGAAGAATCTTAGGAAATGTAGGAAGAAGAAAACTCTCACTTCTCTTCCTCTCCAACACTTCTCAGAGAAGAATTCACACTTAAAGCTACCACAAAAACACAAAACTATAAAGAAAATAATTAATGGTGTACACTGACGTGGAATGATGTAAAGTGGCAAGAAGAGATGCAAAGAATGGGTGAAAGGGTCCGAAAAAAGTGAAGGAAGGGCCCTTTTCAGATCAATTTCAGCTCTAAATAGAGCCTAAGGTTGGTTTTCCAATAGGTGCATCCAAAAACTCTTCAAAAAGCGTCCAAATTTATCAAATATTCTAGAAACAGGGTCTGCACCAACACTGGCGCCGTCAGAGCCCATTCTGGCGTTGTCGGTGTCAGAGGCTATTTAATTTAGTTTGTCTTCTCTGTCAAACGTCGTCGTCGGTGCTGAACAATTTTTTAAATTCTCTATTTTGACTCCAAATTTCATTCTTTTTGCTTTCTTTTTGTTCCAAGTCTTAAAAATCAACAACCTACAATAAAACATAAAAAAAATATCTTCCATTAAAGTGTAATATCACCACTAATGGGTATAAAGTATGAGTCTAAAAATGCATATATTTTTGGTGCATCAACTATTCACTCAAAGCCTCGAACATAATAAGGAAATTAATTCTTAGCCTACTCATGGGTTAATTAAGATGTATACGCATCAACTAGTCACTCAAAGCCTCAAACATAATAAGGAAATTAATTCTTAGCCTACTCATGGGTTAATTAAGATGTATACGCATCAACTAGTCACTCAAAGCCTCAAACATAATAAGGAAATTAATTCTTAGCCTACTCATGGGTTAATTAAGATGTTTATTGAGCACAACTTGAAGACATTAATTTGACTTGGATAATCTAACTATCAGTCTAGCAAGGCCTGAATGAATCTAAAGTGATCTGGGAGGCCCAAAGCTTGTTTTGAGTTATCCTCTGGACATTCTTGGAAGATTTTGGATACTTTAGAGGATCTTTGAGTCTACTAAGGCTTGTTGAAGAAAATCATCTTCAAAATATAACAATAACTGAATTGACATAAAATTCTGAAGGACCCACCAAGTTATAATTTGGGACCCGATAATTTATAAATCAATAAAAAATACCCTGACTTTACTGATCCTACATTAATAACCCTATGCTCAAGGGTTTAAGTTTTGGATAAGGTATTTAAATCCATGTGAGCAACTGAGAATAATTTGCCACATACGGATCATCGGGCTTGTGTAAGTGTTAGGTCTAAGTGGCGACGGTAAGGACGACATTACTTATGTGTGCTAAATAAGGGATACGAAGTGGGATTAAGGATGATATCTTCTTCCACAAGGATTTTAATAAGGAGAGAAGATAGGACCGATGAAACTATTCACCAGCTTTTGGTAAGAGT